GTAAAAAAGCGGCGGGGGAATGAGATTCTTCAAATGATCGTGCCATATCTGCGGACAATCGACATCTTTTAGATAGATCCGCTGTCGATCAGAGTCCTTGTAATTGAATGAATTCCATTGATTAGTTAAGAGTGGCATGTTCTTCAAGTAGTGGCCAATCGAGAGCGGAAGATTGCTCTTCGTGGTCAAATTTCGAGCAATCTCCTCTTTGAAATGCGAGTCTGAGATTAGACAGGAACTCATAGGTACGAGATAGCATCACTAAGCTTGTAGACTTACTCTTCGTTGAATGATGGCTCCTTAGCCATTTCTCAGAGAACACAGAGCGGTCCAGCCTCTCATGAAAACCTTCAATCACTAAAGGCTTTCCGCCTAGAATGACATGCAAGCGAACGAGTTTGTCGAAATTGTCCAGACCGTGTTCATCAATGGAGTTGCAATGAATTCTAATCACGTACTCAAAATTTGGGGTAGATTCCACGAGTGCAGCGACGTCCAGGTCAGGTGGAATTGGTTCAAATGCTGCACGGGGACGCTGGGCGGGCATTTTGCTTCGAAGACCGTATATCAAATGATAGCTACGAAAGAAAAGCCTGTCAAGGTCCAAAATTGCTTGATCTGCGGTGTCACTAATCTCGATGTGTTACTGAGAAAGCCAGCAGTCGGGCATTGTCTCAGCAAGGAAGACTTTCAAATGCTTCACAATCACTAAGGCAGCGCTGCCGGTCTGTTCATAAACCGAATAGATGTATGTGTGCAGCTATGTTCAGTTACCAAGCAGTCGTTCGATATCCGCTTGAATATGTAGAGCTGTAAAAGAGCGGGTTGTAGTCGCGCTGGCATGAGGTAATGATCAAACGCAGCCAGCTTCTTAGGACACAATTCGAGTTGTTGTTGTTCCTTTGGCAACGGTCTACAATGATTTTCGAAGCTTGCTTCGCTAGTCATAGTAGGGCAGCGCCCCAGACCCAGGTATTTATGGATGTCCCAACACCCTAGACTTCGGAATAGTCGATACTTCGCGTCCTCCTTGATGGTCAACCCTCCTCCTTGGGTTGATTAGTCCAGAACTTACTCCGTAGGTATGTGATCTACTAGTACCTGCATGCGCTATTCCTCTCTGGGGCAGGTGGATCAACTACAGGTGTGAAATCTGGCAGACACGTGAAATATTTTTGATTTCCATGCATCTTACCGGTACGACGGTTTGAACTTGGGGAGACCGAGAAGGAAGCCCAAACGGCCCTTCCGGATGTCATATTGCTATTAATTACGTTTACACTAATTGTGGGGAGACACATGGTAGTGCATCTGGTGCTTTTTAAATCACGGTACAGGAGTAATCTGACTGGTGATAACCAGCTTTGCGCAGCTCTAGCTGTTTCTTGATTATCCATGACTAACCCTTGTTTCGTGCAGTAGGAATCAGTCGGGCAGCTCTAGCTGGGCTGGATCTCGTTGAGGAACGATCTGTGGAGGCTTTCCCCGATCGCAGCTCATTATAAAATGAGGTTGCAGTCCTCTTACTTCCCTCCTGTTCGCCCTGTTCAGATTTGCAGACGTCATGGAACATGGAGTAGTCCCTTGAACGATAAGCGCTACCGCTTACTTCGAAATCGCAATTCCTTGACTGCCTCGTCGGGGGTAATTTCAGCAGGACGCCAATCAGCGTATACTGCCAAACCCAGATCAACAATCATCAAGGGGACAACATCTCTCATAAGTTACCGGCCACATTCTTCCCAGTCCCCATCCTCCACAGATCGCCCAGCAGCCACAACGGACAATAACCCGGCAACAGACTATATACCTCCCCAAAAAGGCTTCGTTGCTTCTCTTCCCAAATCATGGATTCCGTACGCTGAGTTGATACGCCTCGATAAACCCACTGGCACATACTACCTCTTCTTCCCGTGTATTTTCTCGACACTCCTCGCGGCACCTATGGCATCTGCCACACCTATGCAGATTCTTAGCACTACTGGTCTTTTTTTCACGGGTGCATTAATCATGAGAGGCGCCGGTTGTGCGATCAATGATTTATGGGACAGGAATCTGGACCCGTATGTCGAACGCACAAAATTCCGGCCCATTGCGCGCGGTGCCCTATCTCCTAAGAAGGCATTGATTTTCACCGGTTCCCAACTTCTAGCCGGACTAGCTGTCCTGCTACAATTTCCCAGCCAGTGTCTCTGGTATGGTATTCCCAGCCTCTTGTTGGTGACGACATATCCTCTCGCTAAGCGCGTCACTTATTACCCTCAGGCTGTTCTGGGTCTCACATTCTCATGGGGTGCTATCATGGGATTTCCAGCGCTGGGTGTCGATCTTCTTAGCAACCATGCTGCTTTAGAAGCCGCAGCAGCCTTGTATTCTAGCTGTGTTGCCTGGACAGTGCTGTACGATATGATCTACGCACATATGGACATCAAAGACGATGTCGCCGCGGGGATCAAGTCAATTGCCCTTCGACATGAGCATAACACTAAGACAGTTCTTTCTGGTCTGGCGGCAGTTCAAGTAGCGCTTCTCGCTACTGCAGGAGTAGCAGCAGGTGCTGGACCCATCTTCTTCGTTGGCACCTGCGGCAGCGCAGCCGTTTCCCTCGGTATCATGATTTGGAAGGTTCAATTGAAGAATGTCAAGAACTGCTGGTGGTGGTTCAAGAACGGATGTTTGCTGACTGGGGGCGGCATCACTTTGGGGATGATCTTTGAGTATATAGCTCAAACCACTGGCCTGTATACAAGCGGTAATGATGAACATTGAGAGGATAGCACTCACAAACATAGTACAGGATAAAGGTTACTTTCAACTTCCGCTGCGAATCTCTTTTATCGTAACACTATTGATACCAAGATGACGCTCTACTACGTTAACTATATCTTTCCAATCCATCATTGCACCATTACCAGTATCACCACAAGCAAGAGATTTTTCGATTGGGTGAAGTACAGATACCCAACCATCTTCATTGGTCCCACTCACCCCCCATTCGTCTGTTAAGATCTTGAGTTGGCTTTTAGTAACTGGGTGATTCCACATTGCGGTGTTCATGGCTATTGATAGTTAGAACAGAATTTGACTGTGATAAAAGATATATTAACGCATCTCACCTGGAGCAACGAACACTACAGGCTTTCTGTCTTTGAGACCACAGTCCACTTTCCCAGTGGTATCCCACGCTCTAATGACGGAAAGAAGCAGGTTATCCGCAATCCCCATTGTCATCTTCGCCATCGTGTTGGCCGATAGAGGGGCGACAACCAGTACGTGGGCCCATTTTCTAAGCTCAATATGCAAAATTGGCTCGCCACGAATCCAGGGGTCTTTCCACTCGTCTTCGTCTCGGTAAATAGCATCAACCCCGGGTAGCTGCTTTAGCGCATCGAGAAGAGGTTGCTCTGAGCTTTGACCTGAAAGAAATTTCTCCGCAGACTTGGTCACAATGATGCGAATACAGACATTTTTATGACGGCCAAGTGCTTCCGCGATATTTGGCAATTTTATCGCTGCCACACTCCCGCTTGCTGCTAAAAGAATGTGTATTTTCTTGTCTTTGAATTGTTCTTCAACTGAGGAAGTCCCAGTGCCTTCCATCGATCTTTTTCGACGTTCCACACAATGGCTACACTCGGACAGGAATCGTTATCATATGCGATGATGTCAGCCGTCGTGGATTTGAGTGATCAAGCAAGACTGCCAAAGCCCATCCAAGAATCTATCCGATAGAGTCAGCACCGTCCTTTATTAGATAGATCGGGACCATTCAAGGCTTGATGGCGATGTGATTCGGACAATTCTTTTTCATCCACAATCCCTAGTATCGATTCTGTGGGGTACATGTGTTTAATGGCGGGAACTGGGAGCCACGGGGACTAACGTCACATGATAAGGTTCGCCATTTGCCTTATTTCGGTAGTTCCTAGAGAGGTACGTCTATATACTGCAAGCATTTTATCAGTATCTGATAAATCTTTCTGGAGAGATCAGTCAGGTCAGTCTTGACAGAGGTATGATGTTTTCAAGGCAAGCTTTCGCGTCTGTAAGTCAAGCATATTTTACCTACCCCTCACAATTTGTTCGCCCATTATGAGCTCACTTTCGTCCATCCAGGCATTCCGACCTTTTTCTCGGTCACCACTTGTCTTGACTCCACGATTCACGGCTTTCCAACTGCCGCATGCCCTTCATGCCCGGTTTCTCTCGGAACAAACAAGATCGGCAATTGACAAAGCAATTGCGTCTGCACCTGTCGTTCTCTTCATGAAGGGTACTCCAGAGACACCACAATGTGGATTTTCTCGAGCTAGCATACAGATTCTGGGTTTGCAGGGAGTTGACCCGAAGAAATTTGTCGCATTTAACGTGTTGGAGGATCCCGAGCTGCGCCAGGGTACGTATAGTGACCCTTTTTCAGGAACAGCAGGTTGTTTGTATTTGCATAGTGAGTCTCAGTCTGGCTAAATTTCTCGGCCTTCGATAGGTATAAAGGAATACTCCGATTGGCCAACAATACCCCAATTATACCTTGACAAGGAGTTTATTGGAGGTTGCGATATTCTGATGTCTATGCATCAGAACGGAGAGCTCGCAAAGCTGCTTGAGGAGAAAGGGGTCCTAGTGGCAGCTGATTGACATGTGTGAGGTTTAATAAAGGACGGAGGATTTGTTTCCTCATTTGCTATTTCCTCTTCTTCACTGTAGAATTATCATGATTTCTAGTATGTTGTGCTGTACTAATATTCTCAAAAGGCCAGAACGTGGTTTTTACCTTTGTTCTACTCAATAACTCGAAGGCTATAAATTGTGCGCATCTAGTTGAAGCTATATTGGCACTGGCCCAATTGACGTACTACAGTAATCTCTAGTCTGAGTTGGCATTAAAGTCAAAGGAAGAGTCAGAACCTCACCTGTGAAGATGATTAGCTTACTACTAGAATCTGATTGACGACAGCCTTAACGACTACTCCATGATAATTTACAAGGAGATCATCAAGTCACTGTGCACCACGTTCCCTACCCAGACCCTTTTCTTCTGATCTAACCAGCTCTTCGACAATGCCCTTCTGTAGCTTGGCGCGTTGTCGCTCTTCATAAGCCTCACGGCTCTTGAGTATCCTATCAACAATCTCACCAGCATTCACATGCTGAAAAGGATGATCGCTTATCTGCCTAAATATGCCCATTCTTTTGGGAGCAGCGTAAGGGTCGTATGTCAGTGGAATGAAGGTTGTTGGCCCATGGTAAACAGCATCCGGGACACCGAATGGCATGGTTTTCAAATACGGCTGGCTAGGAGAGAAGGGCGCGGAGAAAATGACAGCATGAATATACTGGAAGAAAGCATCAGAGGCTGTATGAACCATCGATTGAGGGAAAGGAACATACTCGGCATTGAAGGACACAAAGCCCCCGCTCAAAAATGTTCATGATAGGATAGTTGAATCCCTTCCAGTGATTGATCACTTCATCATCATGAATGCCGGCAACGACGTAAGCCGGGGGATAATCTTCACCGAAGTCGTGAAGTCTCTTCTCGACTTGTTCCGAGTCATACCACCCTCGTTGGCGGCCTTCCAACTCCTCAAGCTCTAGAACCTTTCGAAGAAACTCGATGTGACCCGACGAGAAAAGATCGAAGCCGCCATCCACATAGACTACCCGCTGACCTGGCTTGATTGTTTTGCCATTCACCAGAGTTTCGAATGTACCAGCTTCCTCAACCGTGTCGCTAACCTTCGCCGGTTTCGAACCGGTCCAAGTCCAAACATGAGGACCTGGGCGCAAACCACTCTCATCTGTTGCATAGTCCCGAATCCTTTGCATTAGCTCCACGCCGGATTGTTTCCTTTCTTCCTGATTGCCGGATCCCTCTACTCCCGCAAGGGTGTCTTTAAGGCTCTTTATGTAGTGCCCTTTAGTGCATAGGAGCATACGGCCGACAAGATCGGTGGTGGAAATGCCAGGAGTTCTCTTCACGACCCGAAAGCGCCCAGCTGCCTTGACAAATCGATAGCAATCTTCTCCGTTGCTGTCAGATGTGATATCATCGCCATGAACTACATATTTGCACCCATAGTGTGACACCCATGACAGAGAAGTCACGTAAGGTGCTCGTGGAATACAACGAGTGGCCCAACGGCATGCTTCCACGGCAGCTACCCTAAAGCACGCAGTAGGCGGTACCCGTTATCAGCAATCTAAGTTGACCTGCCGAGTCTCGTAGAAAAAGACTAACCGTTCCTCTAATGTCATTACCGTCGGGCCCTTGTTCTCAAGAATTGCTTCGTCCGAGTGTACCCCAACATAAAGTTCATTACCCAGTCTACGGGCTTGAAGCATAGCACCGGCGTGTCCTACATCAATCCAGTCACCCTTAATTAGGGAATCCTATGACTTGAGAGCAGAGGAGAATGACTTCTCACCATGATGGCTAAAGTCAAAACACCCATCTACCCAGATACGATCTTCCCGTATAGGTACATCATCCTGAGGATCCACAGGCCATTGTCCTGGAGCAGGGACTAATTCTTCAGGCGACACACTCATTGTTTGGAGAGGCGCTTGTTGGCAATTGGCAAATAAATCCTTGCTGTAATTTAGACGAGCGCGTCGATTTTGGTGCGGAAATGTTCTGGTATCAAGATTGGCGAACTCGAAGGTTGATGCGACAAAGGCGAGTTGATCAAGCCAGAAATTACAAAATCAAAAAGGAGGTGGGGTTGGGTGGGGTGTTATCTGTCACATCTGAGATGTAGGGTACCTGTTAGTCTATTTACTCTGTACCAGACCGTCTCAGCAGTCTACTTAGCATATATGAGAGATACTCCGTATTTGAGAAGCTCTGTCAGATGAGTGTATAGAAAGGTACTAGTCGTTGGTCGCCTTATATCACTGTTATCTTAGACATTGACTTGTGTAATGTCATGGGATTTCGCTAATCCGCAGCATCAATACTATACCTATGCATGAGCTACGAGATTGACAGCACCGTTATAAGGTAGGCATATGGAGACTGGGGAGCCAAAATAGTTATTCCAATTTACCGCGTAGATCGATATAAGTGACGGATAAACAGTTGCCCGGCCAAGATCAACTATGGTTCTCCTGGCACCTTGATGAGCATGCCAGTGTTCCGCCATGATGTCCAGATCCTGGGACGCTCAGAAGTAGATTGACTTGGAATGCGCGTTTGGTAGATTGGTTATCCCTAGGTACCATTATTATTATGATTGGCCTCCGTGGGTTGGCTAGCCCGTTCCTGGCTCGGAGCCAGCCCAGGATCAACTAGGGGCCGGGCTCCATGCATTCATTATTGTTCGCGCAGGGGACTTAGATACTCCGTATTCCGTACATAGATCTCCAAATTATTAGAGCAACATCGGACGAGACATATCCGCAACTCGTAAACCAACATTTTTCTTATCTTTTCCAACTGCTGCGCACAAACGAGTCGTCACCAGCTATCTCTCTATGAGAGCGGGCTTCTGCCTGCTTCACTTACTGTTGGAGCTGCTCTTTGTCCAGCGCCCAGTTCAAGCATGATATCATCAACATTTACCCCTAGCCTTTCTCGCAGAGACACAAACAAATCAAGTGTTGGACATGAAGGTGTAGGAGGGGGTGGGCCCCCTCCTTTAACAAGTGGGGGAGGATCATTCGGTCCTCAGAGCGCTGGAGCTATCTATCAGCATATTCACGACATGGCTACCAAAAGGATATCCACTCTGGATTACCTTAGGAAAGCGTGAGTTCAATCCAAAAAGCGGCGCTCCTTCATCAATCCAGCCACTGATAAAGCTACAGCCATGAAGGTCGTATATATTGGTTCAACACAGTACACTTCTCTCGGGCTGACATCAGCCGAATCCCCTATTTCGAGCCTCGAAAACTATCCCGTCGCGCCATTAATTATCTTCTTCTCGGATTATCACTTCCACCAATTTTGGACGTCAATTCATCACCGTCCGAATACTTACGGGCCTTAAACGCGCTTTTGATTGAATTTGAGGCATTTCAGCAAGTCCACCCACCGGATGGAAGTTCATCATCAACTCTGGCAAGAGCGCGCATTCCGCAAATGTTCAAAAGAGCGGCACACGCTGGAACCAAGGGCAGGAGGGCTAGCTCTGCAACGGAAATTGGTCTTCCCATGCAATCTAGCGACCCATCTGACTTGAAGTCCATGACGGGGAACATCAACTCGTCTACAACAGCGGCTGCCGCTGTTGTTTCGTTCCCCGCCAGTGAAGCCTCCGAACTTCTCCCGGGGGAGGAATATTCTTATCTTTTAACGCCGTCTTTACCATTTGAGCCGGATTATTTCGAAACCTTCGCCACTCTTTGTGACGTATTGATTGACTGCTATACCAGGCTCACCGCTTTGGTCTCCACTCCGTCTGTATGCACAGTTGCTTTGGGCGAGATGTTCTCAAAGGCAGACGCAAAGCTTCGGAAGATAATGGTCACAGGTGTCGTTCGAGAGTTCGAGGATGCAAGCAGAACCAGCGCCAAGAATGAAATAGCTGGTGTCAGTCGTGTTGTCTTGGGCGGTCTTCTTGGCTGATTCAAATCTCAATGTCGCCGTTGTAGAAGTCACAAAACTGGTGCATGGCATTTGCTCCGAATGGGCCTCTCGATCGAAGAGCGCGGATGCTCCTGAGGTGCGTAATACATTTGGTGCCAAGTAGATTTATGAATTGATCCTTCCAAGGAAAGGACAAGATCTATTCTATTCTAGAGTAATGAGACACGATTTATTGCTTCCACATATTTCACTTAGCACATGCAGAACCTGTAAACATAAGAGACTAGAATAATATCGAGAGGAGATAAATCAACAAGCATGGGTTGGTATCTATTTTGAAGCCACGAACATCGTAGGAATTGGGGCATCAAAGCCGTCGAGTATGATCAAGCCCAGTGTAAAGAGTATGCATGCGCCAAAAGTGAGACCAAAAGCAGATGAAACTGAACAGAACGCCGGCTCAAATGGCATGCATCGACGACAAATATAAAACATCGTAAGAAAACGCCAGTAAATGCAACCGCTTAATGAATATAATGGTGACGAGTTCAACAAGAAATGGGCATCTCAGGACTGTAACTTCTTGTTCTCGAACTCACGTTGCTCACCGAAAACCCTTCGGCTCATTTCAAGAACAGTTTCGAAACCCTCTCTGCCTCTCTTGGCATTTTGGCTGAACCTCTCGATACTAGCCTCCTCTACCTTGTTCTTGATTTTCTGCCAGCCGCCGCAAAGGGCAGTGATTTTAGCCTCTTGACTGAAATCCGTGATCGACTCTGGTTTTGATGACGAAGGCTGGTAGATAACCGTCTCCCTCACGTTCAAGACATTAGACCACGTGAGATTTGTTGAGCACATAGTGACCTTCTTTGCACGAGGATCAACATATGAGATTTCGTATACATGAGAAGTAGCGCTTCCCCCGAACAGTGAGAGAACCCATTGCGGTACTGATTGATCACATGTGATGAGGCGTTCCGTACGCAACTGATGGGGACGTTCAGGTTAGCCATTTCGTCCGAGATGTATAGAATGATAATATTGAGAGGAAAACCCACAATGCCAGTCTTCGGATCTACCGTCCGAGATATTGTGTCTACCGCCACAACATGGGTCGACTTGTCATTCCAAGGGCAATATTTGCGCCAGTTCGCCGTCGTAACCTCGTCCCAAGAATAATCGAAGGTGCACGTCGAGGAGAAGACCTTCATGACGGGGAAAGCTTGGAAGACAGTGATAGAAGCAGAGATCGCTAAGCAACCGAGTCGCTTGCTAAAGAGCACGATCGAAACTGCAGAAACGTCGTGTAGATCGAATCGGACTAGCAGTCGAAATGGATTCAAAATGGATTCAAACAAGCCGAGGACTCAAGAATATCGACAAGATAGCGTATAAAAGGGCAAAGGTCTATGTGATCATGAAGAGAGTCTACAACAAGTAATGGGGGCCATAGAACAAGAGGCAAATATTCAACTACAGATGAGTAAGAAAGCCTTCAAGAAATGATGAAACTGGATGGCGATCATAGGCTGTCGTGCAATGATGGAACGCGGGAGAAGAAAATTTTAACATATCAGACCCGCGAACAACCCGGGGAAAAGGCGGACTCGGGCAGGAATCGGAATTTCTCGGCTGTCAAAATGCGACAGCATCATAAACTACCTTAATGTTCCTCTTACTATCTACCTATCTATAAGAAATGAACATATGGTTCAAAGTCATAAGAATCATAACAAGCGATTGATCGAAGAGCCATATGGAAGGGGTCCTGTACGATGCTACAATAATGATAATGGCTTATCAGGTACTCCGAGGGATGTCCTGCTACTTGTCACGACATCCTTTGTCTTCGTATTTTGCTCGCTGAACCCAAACATTTATCATTTCTAAATGTTGCTATCATAGTCTATTACTATTGTTGTCAACTCATCTTAAGCCACAGGGGAAAGAGGTTCATTAACTCGCCACAGCCATAGCTGCTTCCCAACTCGGAAGATAAAGTCGGTGTGAAATTGTGCATAATCCCGATTCCCATTGCTAGAAGGATCCTAGGCATATAAAAAGGTATTCTAGGCCCTTCTAGGTCTCAACCCCTCGACATTGAAAGCATCTCAAAAGACCGGACAACATACCCGCCACTAATAATAATTGCTCCTTGTGCTGTTCGAATATCAGTTTTGCATCATGGTAGAACTCAGGAAGCGGAAAGCGCCCTCGCAAACCCCCGTCACAGGAAAAAAGAGCAAAAGGATACAAGACCCGAATCAGGAGAACAGTCCAACCTTGGTACAGTTAGGCAAGGAAGATGAGCGCGATACGCATGTCTCATACAAGAAACCTCCAAGTGTTGGTGACACTATCAACTTGGATAACTTTGGTGGCGAGATAGAACTCAATGATGGGGCGAAAACTACCCTCAAAAATCTCGTCGACGCAAGCAAATCAGGGATTGTTTTGTTCACGTACCCAAGAGCGTCCACTCCTGGCTGTGAGTTGATCTCCCCCACATTTCTTCCTTGCACGTCCCGAGGGTAGTACTCCGCGGATTTTCGGGGAAGAGCGGTTGCATCCCTCCTCTCGTTAGCGGTATTACGCTATAGTTCGTGGCTGCTCCCGCAACGGATGAAACAATCTCAGGAGTCGAAAGAATGCTCATCGCTTGTTAGGCACAAAGCAAGCTTGCTTGTTTCGCGATAAGTATGATTATATAACGTCGAATGGCCTATCGATATATGGGCTTTCGGCGGACTCCATCAAAGCGAACAGCTCGTTCAAAGCTAAGCAGAGCCTGCCCTATGCTCTACTATGTGATACGGCATCTACTCTCATCTCGGCTCTTGGCTTTAAGAAGGCCCCTAGAGGTACGACAAGGGGGGTTTTCGCTGTTGATAAGCAAGGAAAGGTCCTACTTCTGCAACCTGGTGGGCCAGATGCAACTGTGGATGCTGTACAGCAAATGATCTCAGCTCGCAACGAAGAGATACAGGGACAGATCAAAGAGTGATTGGAAGTTCATGAGGGAAGTCGGCTTTAAATGTCAGACGTTTTTTGGCATGTTTCAGCTCTGGGGGGCCGTGTAATATCAATGATTCCGAGATCACTTTTCATACCTCATGCCATGCTTCATGCGTCGACAATCTTTGCAATGAAAGAGCAACTTAATCCACCTACAAAAATGAAAGGAGAGCTTATGGTTACAACTACTGGTTGTTCTAGCTCAGTATAGCCAGTCTTCAATGGATATTATCTTTTGATAAGTAGATGAATAACCTATAAGTTATTAATTTCGGTCAATGTAAATTTCGGTCACTGTTCTTACTTTTGTCACCATATATCTGCAGGTGTGGCACGGAGTTGCTTGAGATGAAATTCAATATCTCTAGCTGTCACTTTGGGGTTCCATATATCCTATCTAAGACCCAGCAAAATTCCTTCTGTTACACCAAACCTGACTTGAAACACCACATATCAGGTTAGCTCGAGAGGGTCTGGTCAAAACGCTAATCTTTACATTTAGATATCAGGCAGGGAAGCTCCTGTGCATGTTGTATGGGTCCGTTCTTACCGATTGCCAGCGAATGTTCGGGTATCAGGAGGCACGGTGTCGGAAAAACATAATGTCCGTTCACAGTTCGTCCATCCAAGTGCAGCCATCTTGATTCCGTCCCTTCGTAAAGCAAGTGAATACACATGTTGTGAGACTGAGAACCTCGGCAGGTCAGGACTCAAGTAAGCAATGGGTCATTGTACTGGTCTTCATCATGGCCAGTGAGACAATGGGGGCATTGTGATGCTGACACGCAAACTGGATAGGATCTCCAAGCACATCATGGCTCGCGACGTTCTCAAAGCCGCCAAGTCCGCATCGAATGCGGTAGCCGTCCATAAGGTAGGCAGTTTTACTAATACCGATGGTGGTACTTTCCATTTCTAACTTTTGATAACCAGAAATACACCGTTCAATCTACCGGGATATGGGAACGTCTTCGCCGTCTTCTTGCTGTCGATCCCAATCGCTCTACCGGAGTACCTCTTAACTCGCAATATCGACTTCCGACTCCTGGTGCTCTCCCACCGCAATCTTATGATGACCCCGTCACTGTCCCAGCAGGAGACATTGCCGACAACCCTTACTGGAAGCGCGACGTTCGGAGAAACTACCCCAGACTTAGCGTAGTCAACCAGGCAGATGCTGTTGGCCTTCTTACAGTCGGCAGCCGGGCGGTGCCTAAGGATGATGTTCTGCAGATCGGGCAGGCAGGAGAGCAGCAGTTGGTTGAGGTTAAACAACAAGGAGAAGAGCGTGGCCTCGCTGCCATATTTGAGAAGGACAAGAGGGGCATCCAAGGCGTCCTGGGCGCCGGTGGTCTGCCGCCAATTCCTTGTAATCTGAACGCTTCCGCGGCCAAGTACCAGCTTGGCCAAGGTCAAGGCTATCCTGCTGTGTATGTCTTTATCTCCGCACTTTGCTGCCCCAGCTTACATTTGAATCTAGGTATCCTTGCCGGACGTTCGTCTAAGTATTCTTTAACTGCGCATCCGAATTGAATTGTTATCCTCTTTCTGTCCTGGGACGTAGACCATCTATTAGCGAAAAGTATTCAAACCCGGGGTGAGCCTGATGGAGCAGGCTGATGGCAATGTCAGCCGCTATGTCAACCTTTTTCTGATAATGTAGAGCCAGTCTTCCATCCTAGCTAGCCACATGTGCATTGAGTATTTCGCTGGATAGTTTCCGTTACCATGTATCGGAGTGAGTTTATATGCTCTGGGTATCCTCTTATATTCTCTCTATTCGCCTTATGTTAATCACTCATGTGGAAAGCAATGCCACCATGTCGTATAGGTAGAGTGGGAAGCAGAATATCGAATATCATTTACCAAGGGTAGATATAGTGCAGGTACGGCATCATGATCCTAAGAAACTTTCCATGTCCTCTGATAATCCAAATTTTCTAAGAGAGAAATCAAGTGTCTCAAAATAAGCTTCTTCATGCGATACCTAAAATGACTACGATTGAAACCTGGTCCCTGCAAAATTTTAGACATTGGTAGACATTGGCATGAGCAAGCAATAGAATCCTATGTCTGGCTTAATTCAAATTCAGGTTTTAATTCACAAAATAATAATTTCCCTGACCATAAACCAAAAGTCGCTCCTAATCAAAAGGATTTGTACGAGTACCCCACCAGGTAAGGAACAGGCTAAGCCCAACTGTCTCAAACACTCTGCTGACAGCACCAACAGCAACAGTATCGAGGGGTCGCTTTTCAGTGAAGATTTGACTGATGAACTAGAAACAGAATGCAAGGTCAGTATATCACATGAAAGTTGGAGTAAGAGAATCGGAATACTCACACTTGGCCCGGAACTGGCCATGAAAATCAAACTTCCCAAATAAGCAGCTCCCTTATAGCTCAGTGTTCCAGTAGCATTGATCAGGGCTGCAACACCGTAAGTCTGCACAGCGCTTCCAACCAGAGAGCTACCCCAAGCCGCCGCTGCTCCAGCAGCCTCCTTGGACTTGATGAATTCCTCCTTGGAATTGGCGGCCTGTGCCCGATGATAAGTATCACCAAAGACAGGAGCGAGAATACCCAGTGAAGCCGTATGGGTGAAGATAGTACCCATGGCAATCGCCGAGGGTTTCACGGGAGGGAGATCTGGCCGATTATAAGTTATTATAATGATCAGTGAGACCACATGGCAGAGAGACGAGGGCACACTTACAGTGGAGAGTGGTCATTTTTGAATGTGGAAATATCGCAGTGTAACAATGATTCTGTATGTTGTGAGATCTCAACAAAATTGTTGTCCGTTGAATGGGGGAGATTCGTTATTTGAACACTACTGAACCAAGGTCACATGGGGTTGCCATCATACAGTAGGTACTTGGCAGGCTATGCAGTGACGTCGTCATGATCTAAAGACAAGGATACGCCGACAAGCTGTAGTGTGAAGATCCCGATATGGGGGATCGAGTCATGTTGCGGACCAATCAGTCGAGGCCGCTCAGATAATAAAGTCGATTTTACCAACGGTTTAAGGTAGGAGGCTGGAAGCAAGATCCCTTGATGTGGGGAAGGCAGTGGCCATGACGTCAAGCAGTAGACACATACATGATGGTCTCTCAATAGGTACCTTCATACTAGCCATGCTTGGGCGGTGGAGTTAAAGGATCTTAATAGCAGGTAGGCCTCGATCAAGCAAGCGAACACTAATCTCTCTCTATTCCACTACAGAGCGTGGTCGATCCAACATCAACAGTCATGAGTTGCATTCGCTGAGCCGCTTTACTCTGCCAAACCCTTCCACCCTCCTATGAAGTTGCAAGGAAAAATCATTTTCCTTCATTCCAGGCAGGATATTAGCAAGAATTACGGCTTGTATTTTCCGCTTTCCGACCAAAGACCTAAAGTAGAATTGTAATTTACATGTCCTCTGGTCTCTCTATGGTCCCCATTTGAGGACAAGAAAGAAGGCACGAAGAAGATTGAGGACAAGAAAAACATTATATCCTCAGCCATGGCCTCTATCTAAGATTAGATACCTATGAAGCTTTGAAGGCCGCTAGAGCCTAGATGAATGGAAGATCTACATCGTTAATTTCTCCGTCGCTACCTAATTCTCTCCTCATTTTGGAGAAATGCCCAATCAGAGTTATCAAAGAACATGGATTTTTTCCACCTTTTTCTTCTGGTCTTTTCTGAACATACCTTACTTCCTGGTACATACCTTAATTTTTTCAACTCTTTTTCCCTATTGGTCATTATATTTTTTGATGCTCTAGCGTCAGTGGCTGACTGAGGCTTTTCACACATCAATTAAATTTAACATTCTATCGATAGACATTTGTTAACCTCATAAGAAACGTTTCGTGGATGCAAAATTTCTCCCGATGGAAGGAACTATTTCTGCCAGCCCCTCATCATCCGATCTGGTGGCAACCTTTGATGTCAGCGAATACTTGGTCCCTGTCAGGGAGCTAAAATCGGCTGGAAATACGTTAGTCTCGTTTGATGGTCTCCTAGAAGAGCCTCTGATCCTCAAAGAAGACCTTAAAGAGGGTTGTGGTGGTCAATTATGGCCAGCGGGGATTGTCCTGGCTAAGTACTTGCTGCGGCAACACCGCAATAATCTCTCCAACAAGACGATGTCTGTACACTGCCATTTTTCTTTCTATAAAGTTCTCAACAACCCCTCCTTCTGAGATTGTACTAATGCGTTGTTACCTAGAGTTGAACTAGGAGCTGGCGGAGGCCTTGTGGGCCTCGCGGTTGCACGAGGGTGCAATGTTGGTCCTTTTCCCGTCTACGTCACAGACCAAGAACCAATGTTACACTTGATGAAAACGAACATTGAGCTGAACAATCTCTCAACTGCTGTGACGGCGACAGTGTTAAATTGGGGAGAGCGTCTCCCAGACTGTATACCTACCCATCCTGCAATCATACTCGCTGCGGACTGCGTCTATTTCGAGCCGGCGTTTCCCCTTCTCATTTCAACCTTGCAAGATCTGCTGGGGCCCGAATCAGTTTGCTACTTCTGTTTCAAGAGGCGTAGGCGAGCAGATCTCCGTTTCATGAAAGCAGCTAAGAGGGTCTTTGATGTCAAGGAGGTTCGTGACGACCCTGAAGCGGATATATACAGAAGGGAGAACATCTTTCTCTATTCACTCCGGTTGAAATCTAGACCGGAGAACGGCAGTCTCAGAGCAATAGAGGGATGAGCAAGCGCTAAAGAGGCAAATCAGATTATCATATACCGATATGTAGCTAGACGAACGAAATACGCTAATCTACCAGGCTTCTGCCGTTCCAAAGAAATTCATGTAATTTGAGACACTCAGTCATCGAATATGGACGGTAGGTGATTGCAATCTCACAGCTTGAGCATATCGGCACCAGTTTTGGCGGTGCCCTCCTGGTCTCTGGCACCATAAACATCAGTGAGGTGGCCCTCTCTACCAATCACCTTGACACCGCCCTTCTTCAAGGTTGAGACGATTTGTTGATTTTCAGCTGCTCTCCCTGATTGTTGTTTTGCAGGGTCTGAGCCAGTCTTTCTTTGCTTCTTCTGCCTCCTCCTTAGCTTGGACTTCTCATCGCGCGTCATTTCATCTTTAGCGACAGATTCTCCATTCTTGAGTGTTACTTCTCCAGCAACCTTGCCGTTATCACCCGGAGCGTATATTTCCTGAGGAGCAAGGGCAGCTGACCCGCCAACTGCGCTGCTAGCTGCAGGCTGCGCATCCTCCATCATAATGGTAGCAACATCCGTGATCACGTTGATATTTGCTAGAGGAGCTTTCGGTCTGTAATGCCAGTTCGACAGCGTATCCAGCCGGTCGCTTATTTCTTTCCAAAGGTTTGAAATCTCAGTATGTTCTCGTAGAAGTTTATGATTCTTCGGGTCCACATAGTTTGGATCAGTAGCCCTGAGATGATCAGTCTCAAAGAGCTCGGCCAGGCTCTGTTGAGGTTTGGTGTCTTCCAGCTCAAATCTCCCTTTCTTTGTAGCCTGCCCTTCCGAGATCCCAGGACGACGGCGTATTACTTCATCAAACTCCTTCGCCAGTATTCGACGCTTGACCAGCTCCTCAATGTCGCCAGAAAGTTCCGTCGTGACGACTGGTACCGGCTTTCCAACCCTCTCGAAATCCAAATCTTCTTCGATCAAGGAATTCATAGGTCTTTCAGGACCTCGAGCTTCACCAGCAAGCATCCAATCTTTCTTCGCGACATTAGCGGCCTCTAAGCGACGGATCTCGTCGGCAATCCGCGCGCGTTGTTTCTCATGAGCCGAATGCTGATGTTTAGAACCCCCTAGCTCATTATCGGAAGAATCGTTTCCATCCAGCGACCCATCGTCCTCAAGTAAGTCGCGCCTAACATCGGCAATCGCGCGATCGATGTCAGTTTCCACAGGAGCCCCATGAGGTTGTGTTTTCGGAAGAGGGCGCGTTTTCATCGAAGTCGCCTTCCGTGGGGGAGGCTCAAAAAAATCCGAGTACTTGATATCACTGGTGTTCATCCAATTAGTGGTATCCGCACTGATTGAATATGAATCGTCATCCTCCGAATCGAGGTCATTTTCGACGGCGACGTTATCGAAAGTCGGCCCTTCCTCGTCGCTACTGCTCTCACTTCCGTCCTCGAAAGAACTCTTCGATCTCTGTGCTGTTGGTCGTGCGGCTTGGGGAGGCACAGAAGAACCACCAGCTAAGGGGTTGACGTGCCAGTCTATCTCCTCTTCATCGCTCCCCAACTCGTCATCTATTCCGCCCTTTGCATCCTGCCTCTCGAGAAAGCCAGACAGCTTGTTGAATTCGTCAATGGAGAAAAAGCCGTCGTTGAGTCCGAACGGGTCTTGTACATAGGTATCGCGGCTATTGTGGTTATCGTTCTCAGACTCTTCCACATCAGTCCTGCTATCTTCGTCTGAATGGCCCTTGACCATGCTCCGTGACTCTGGTTCGGATTCTATATCTTCCATATCATCATCAGAAGCAGAGTCGCGGTCTGAACGATCAGCGGCCGATTCTGAAGAAATCGACATTCCACTAAATTCGGAGACATCTTCAAAGTTCGCCTCTCGTGACTGAACGGGCGACGCTCTTGCGTCCAAAACAGCTGGTTCGACATGCTGAGCAACCAGAGCGGAATCTTGCTCGATTTCCTCTTTGGCAGAGTCTAGTATTCTTGTGGCCTGTTCCCAAATTTGATCGGAAGTAAATCCTTGCACAAAGAGCTCCTTCAACTGTAATACATGATGCAGAGATTCTTGCTCATAATCCGGTCGCTTGCGCTTCCGCATAACGCGCTGACGAGCAAGCTGTGCATTGCTGACAGACAGGGCAAGGGAATCCAGAAAGTGCTTTGCACAATCAACTGTATTCGCATGCAGCGAAGTTGTCGGGCTAAGAAAAACCCACGGTGTAGATAACGCTGACTCGATAGGCATGTTATACCCGTTGCAAGTCGATCTGGATGCTGGGGATTGGATTATCGCCTCAGATTGGTTTTGTATTACCGTTTGGTTCATTGCAGAAATGCCTCTGAGAGCATCGGCCCGCGTTGGTGTTTGAGCAGAAAAGGTGAATTTATTATAGAGAGCGAAGAAAAAAGAGAAAAAATATGAAGAAAAAAGGAATAGTTGGAAAAAGAGGGATATGGTACTTTTAAAAAGACGGAAAAATGAAAAATGAAAATTAGAAAAACCTCTGCCAAGCTTCCCGCTCCACCTAAGCCTGGCTGTGTTATTGGTATCTTAACTAGCGCGGCCCCCTAAGGCGGATAATAATACTAGTACTCAATACTACAGAGCACGTCTCTAATAATATTAATGCTGGGGCGCTGGCGTACCTTAATGCTGAAGCTTAACCAAATTGCTGCTACCAGCCTGCTGTTTATTGAAGATTGTCAAAAGACACAAGTTCACAATGTCTTCAGGCCTAAGGTAACGTACTGACCCAATTATTTACTTCCGAGGCGGGCGACAAGAAAGATTATTATCAGACTCATGATTTACTCCGGATTATTCTCCGTTCGACAAGGGTAAAAGTAATTAAAAGACTAATTTCGAAATCTTATTCACCTCACCCTATAGAAGGTAAAGCACCACTACAGAACAACCAGTGCAGCCTCAGTGTGCAAATATGGCCTTTCAAGAATTTGTTCATGGCAGGATAACTGAGATGTTTCCCACAATCCGGACACCCTGGCGCCTCAAAAAGTTCCACAGTTCCACTGCTCTCTGAGCCAGTCCAGCAAAACATTTCTGATCGCGAACTCTGATGAAGTCAAGCAATAAGCAGACCTTATCACATTCTATGGATGTGATGTCTCGCTGACGATTGTCTGGCTCTCAGAGAACTTTCTGAGAGAACTTTCTGCCGGGTTATCAACTACAGTTCTCCTCAAGCAAGGTGCTCATGATGGTCTAGATCATCACATATGCCAGCCCTTCGTTGCTTGATAACGTCACGTCAAGGAGACTGTCGAGGTTCATCTGCACAGGAACTTCTACTGTCACCACCTAGGCCAGCTCGAAGTAATGATTGCGATGTGGGTTTTGTACATGCGTGGCTGTATCTCTAAGATGTTTCGTGGCTCTCAATTCCTAGGTTCTTGTGTTGCTTGAAAACGTCATCTTGACGCTGTGATCTTGCGGCGTACATGACCGTGTGCGCCGGATTTGCATACTATAACTTGACTTTATTTTTCTAAATTCTATTCTCGCGCATTAACTTGTTCAGAAAGCTACATTTTCCTTGAGATACGCGAGTTATCAATTTGAGATCGTCAAAAATTGCTACTGGATCAACACCATGCAAGAGTACACGGAAAAGCGAGCAAGCGGTGCTGAATCACAATTTCAGCCTGGTGAGTCCGCATCTTTGAATCAAATTTTGATGATGCTCATCAATACTGCAGGTCACCAGATCCCAATCCAGCATCAGAAAAAGCCTGGGTTACAGGCGGAACTGGATGACCCCAAGCCTGCGTCGACCCGCATACCGACCGACGACTATGGATACCAGACGTATAAGGCAGCTGGGAAACTCGCTGGGAAGAGAGCTATAATTACGGGTGGCGACTCTGGGATCGGTCGCGCTGTTGCCATACTGTTTGCAATGGAAGGGGCATCTAGCCTAATCGTATACTTGCCCGAGGAAGAGAGAGATGCTCAAGAAACAAGGAGAAGAGTGCAGGAAGCTGGAAAAGAATGTCACTGCTTGGCAGTAGATCTCCGGAAAAGGGAGAACTGCCAGAAAGTGATCGAGGTCGCCCTTCAGTGTTTAGGAGGAATTGACATTCTGGTGAACAACGCTGCGTTCCAGAACATGGTCCAAGACATCAGCGAGCTAGATGAGTATGCTATGATTCCCCAACATAGTCTTTTGGAGGCGCCCCTCCCTTCCCAAGAAAACAGAAAAAGGGAAGGAAGAAAATACAAGAGGACAGAGACCTGTCGACATGATATCTCGTATCATTGACCGTCTTATTAGGGCCCAATGGCATCGCACCTTTGACACAAACATCCATCCTTACTTTTATCTGTCGAAATACACTCTACCACATATGCGATCTGGCTCGACAATCATCAACTGTGCATCCGTTAACCATTATATTGGCCGAGGTGACCTCCTTGACTATACATCTACGAAGGGCGCAATCGTTGCGTTCACTAGAGGATTGTCCAACCAACAAATTGGGAAAGGAATTCGAGTCAACTGTGTGTGCCCTGGTCCAAGTAAGTTTCGAGCCGGATAATTGCGACGGTTCTCTCTAAGATGGTTTCTAGTTTGGACTCCCTTGATCCCATCCACCATGGATTCCTCTGCAATGGAACAATTCAGCTCCGTGCCCATGGGTCGCCCGGGCCAGCCTAGCGAGGTTGCAACATGCTTTGTTTTCCTTGCAAGTCATGACAGTAGCTACATTTCGGGGCAAAGCCTGCACCCCAATGGCGGGGTCATGGTCAACGGCTAAGCGTTGCCTCGAGAAGCAATCTCAGCCTCACAAAAAAGACGAACAGCTACCTGAATGCTAGGTCACCAGACCACTTGAACCATTTCATTCTGTGGTTGGTGACACGTTTATCAGAAAGAGAGATAGCAAATGATAAGCCCATATTATCTGTTAAATTGAGCGAAATCTGAACACCGAAGACATATCGTCAGAAGAACACTTTGGCTCGTTGCATGCACTAGTATGTCTCCTAGGTACGTAAGTATACAATACCGTAGTTACTATTTTCAAGATTTAATGATATCCACCATTCCTGGAGTACAATATTAACGGCGGTACCACATGCGTGTTATTCTTGTGTGTCTCATCTTCTTCTGGAGCTGGAATATTCCATACATCAATGCCTCGGATGTGGGTGGACCTATATTCCGTCAGCATAGCTCTCACATCAGGATAATCTCAAAGTACGAGTCTAGAGGGAGATTTGACGAACATCCAGGGACATAAACATCGACAGGAACAATCCTATCACATCCTCGTACGACTGAGTAGCTGTAATGATAGTAGCCGCCACCATTTGCACAACTTCCCATGCTGATGACCCAGCGTGGATCAGGCATCTGATCGTAAACTTGTCGAAGGGCTGGTGCCATTTTGTTGGTCAATGTACCAGCCACGATCATCACATCCGACTGGCGAGGTGAAGCTCTAAAAATAATTCCTAGGCGATCTTGGTCGTATCTAGGTGTCGACAGATGCATCATCTCAACAGCACAACAGGCGAGACCGAAGGTCATCGGCCACAAGGAGCTCTGGCGGGCCCAGTTGGCGACTTGGTCAAGTGTGGTACTACAAACGACAATGTTAGTACAAACGGACGCTCGCTATGCATGTACGTAAAAGATGCAGGGCACGAACAGAACATATTGCATTGCACCCTCTTTCTTTTCCTGGCTCGGCAAGGGCACCTCCTTCCGCACCTTTCCAGATGCAGTCAAAGGCTGACCGGACTGCGCCTGACGCTCGAGTGCCGTCGCTGAGTTGACTGGAGAGGTGGACAGCAATGCAAGCTGTTGACCTCTGGAGAGGGATGGAACTGTGACTGATCGCGCTATATCAAATGAGCCGACGAATGCCAGGAGACAGAAAAATAGACGTACCGCGGAGAGCGCCCAGAGCGGCGCGCCTAGACGTAGAGAGCATACTGGAATAATACTTCTGTCTTGTCTGAGGCGCCTATTAATCAGATAAAGAAGTAGTTGGTGACTAGAGGGGAACAAAACCTCTGTTGCTCAAAGGCCCCTGCAAGCTTAGTGGCAATGAAATGGCTGAGGTACGAGTAGCGTGTGTTCCGTTCCGGCCCCGAACTAGGAAGGTAACGCCGTTGCGCCGAAGATGACCGAGCCTATGGCGATCCAGCTTAGTAACTGCAAGATAATCCGTTTCTGAACTCAACCTACTCCGTCTTCGAGGTTTGAACCCCAGATGGTAACAATATCGAGTATATAGCCCGTCAGCTCACATCTGTAGTCGCAGAAACCCCTACGATATAACGTTTGATTCGATTCATCACATTTGGTTCGTCAATACTTAATTGATCTATCCTGATGGCCCTTGTTACTATGGGAATTAATTTTTTACTGTAGAAAGGTTACTCGATTTGACCATTACTTAGGTGCAACTAGATTACATTGATTTCTGTCTACAACCTATTGGATCATTAATCCAGCGTTTCAGTGCACGAATGTGAGAAATTACTCTATTGTAGATGCTGCGTTTCATTGACGTGAAAGTTGCGCGGCTGTTACCCGGACTTATCAGCGCCGCGGTGCCATCATCAAAATATCCTTCCTGAACTGATGTGAACAGTGCTCTGCAATTCCCGGGCTACTCCGTCAGTCTACTCTCCCGCCTGATCATTTTCCTTGTATTACTTCCAGCGATCTTTGACCCAAGGAGCTAAAAGAGCCTCTCACACCCAGAAGTGATGTCAGGCCCCAAGATTGCCTGCATATGCGTGATTGGAAAGACTGTGAGAAGATCCGTTGCAATTTGATGCTTCTACTAATTTTCTCAAAGGACAATCCTCTCCATATCTCAATGTTCCCACCGTACCAAGACTCCATTGTAAATTTCTCGTTCTCCTTGAATGCATGCCTTGATATCTTTGAGATACGTCAGAAAAAGACTCCAGTCGGCCAGGATCTGGGCCTCTTGCATGCGATCGATGAGCGATTAGCCGCGTATGGCTGGTTGACTACCACTGGGGTGAAGTTCTTGATCATGGTGGATACATTAGGACAACCAACAGGTGTTGGGGCCGAAAGTTTGGGCGTCGGTGCGATGGCGACATTGAGGGAATCGGACTTGAAGCCGGCACGTTTCTACCATCTTACTATGCAACACACTTGAGACAGCCTGCAAGTTCCATGGAAGCGCTAATGTGGATTGATAGGCTTTCCGAGCGCTGCAAACTGCATATGTTCAACTGCTACAAAACCCGTTTTACTTTCCGGACGATTATACGCCTACTTCGAAGACCGCAGCATCAAGTTCGAATGCATCGCAAATCGTCGACCAAAAGTTCATTGCGGCAGTCAAGCGCATCGGCGATACCTGGGCTCCGGGAATGACTGGGTTCTGAGCTTTCTCAGCTCCTAAATCTTTTGAAGAGACAAATCAAACATTAATACTCTAGAATGGCCAGAACCCCCGGTAAATACGGACTTTACTGTATGAAACAAAGCCGTCAGGCGTGGATTGTGAGGCTGATCCACGTTGCTCTGCCTGATGGGTTGGAAATTATACGAAATTCTGAGCGAACTTCACCCTGAGGCAATTTTTAGACCTGGTCAACTTGTCTGAAGGATTACAGAAGTGAAGCTCATACCCATCCTCATGCAAGCTAGCATTGAAGAATGAGCAGCATAAGAAATCTGAGCTGGCGCTTCACCAATTGCTTGCAGGGCAAGGAAGCCCACGCCGATCATCCTTGGTTACTTGAGGTACCGTCGCTGAGCGTACCTCATGTTTGTACTGAGTATGGAAGTTAATTTTGTTTTGGCACCGCAATGAGAAACGCAGTTGGAATTGCAAGACAAGTCTACAGGAGCTAGTCCGGTTGTTTCTAGCAAGGAACTCCTTCAGTGTGATTCAGACCAGCCAAGAAAATTGCCACGTAAACTTGCACCTGATGATTCCTAGACGTCAGAGTGGCTTGGGCAGGTTATCTGTCTCTCAAGCTGCAGATTATTTTTTTCAGATTACAACCTACTCGAGAGAATATGGAGCTGTGATTGCCCGGAAAAGTGTGGAATTAAGGCCAAAAGCACCAGGCTACATTTTGTATGAAAATTATGCGTCTAAAGTTCGCCAATTTGTCAGTGAATTTCGTCCGTAATGGGCAGGGCTCGATTGTGTCGGTACAAATGAGAAGTACGTATATAATGGGGAATCACAGATTCATTGAGTTGAGACGTCGACTTCTGTGTTTTGCAGCGCGATCAAAAAAGTCTCCAGCTCTCGGGGATCACTAAGAGCCCAAACGCCACCTCCTTTGGTGTTGATTTTACCAACTTCCTTACCGACCAGATTTCTGCCGACCTTGCCTGGTCCAATGCCAATCCATCTTCTGACTCCTCGATCTTGGTCAAGATAACGAATACTATCCCACCATTTAACGGTTTCGACGCATTGTCTAGACAAAAGGCTTTTCAAATCGTCCCTTGATTCGAAGGGGAGACCAGAGACGTTGGATATACATGGCAGCTGTGAGGGAAACTCAATGTCGACGCATTCTAGTTCATGTCTCATATACTCTGCAGCAGGCGCCATGATGGGATTGTGGAACGGGCTTTCGCTCTTCAACCTCACAGCACGTGGATCGTGGCCACCAAATTGGCGAAGCTGGATGAGAAGAGTTGTAATCCTTGAAATGCTCCCACTTAGTACTATTTGGTTTTTGGAGTTGATGTTGGCAATCATAACTTGTTGAATTGTGGGTAATCCGTGGCTCGAATCATCCTTTAAGTCGGGGGAAGGATGACCTATGAATTCATGTATGGCCGAAAGTAAAGATTCGAGATGATCCGGCTCACAAATCAGAGCTACCATGCCATAATCTTCTCCGGATTGTTTGGAGGCTTGACGGGTGCAATCAGCCATAATTTCCGCCCGACGGCGAACCAATCTTAAAGCGTCTCTGAACTTAATATAGCCACCAGCGACCAGAGCAGAGAACTCGCCCAAGCTATGTCCAAGTGTTACATTCACACGGGATTTCGTGTCGAAACCGAATTCCTTCTCCAATATGCGAAGGATTAATATGGACGTCGCCATGATAGCAGGTTGGGAATTCTCAGTCTTGTTTAACTCGCAATTTGGGCCATTTGCTATAGTTCGAGACAGGTTGAATCCTAAAGTATCGTCCATTTCTTCTAAGAATGGTCTGGCCGTGCTAGGAAAATTATCAACCCAGGAGTTAGCCATTCCCACACGCTGTACGCCATGACCTATACCTATATCAGCATCAGGAACAGGGATTTTGGGACTAGGTGGTATGACAAACCGGGGAAGAATAGAGCTGTGTGCAATCTTGTTGTGGTAGAGTGCGAAGCGATGCTTTGGCGATGGGGGCTCACCCTGGAGATTGAGCGACCACAGGCATAGCGGGTTACTGGTGTGTATCTCAGACTGAGGAATAGCAACATGATTTAATGATTATAAAAGCATAGTAATCAGTTAGGCTCTGAACGAACATGTTGGATATAATATGTGGGCATTATGAGCGGTGTCTATTAGAGATGTATTATGACACAGTAGCATCCGATGGGCGAGATACATTCTAGATAAAGAGCCAGTAGAAGTTCTCTATCTATGGCTTCAGTCAAGCTAAAATCATGTGATTACAAGCAAAAACATCACAACAATATGGTACCTCTGTTAGTACTAGTAAGTAATATTACCTCTGTTATAGGCTTGCAAATTTACTACTCATGTTGAAGAACATCCACTGATTATTACCTATTATCTAAGGTACCCTTCATGAAAGTAAGGTACCTAGTACGCCGTAATACCGATTTTCTCAAAAGGAACAGGTGCAGCAAACAGTGAACTCTTTACTACTATCATTGCATATTAAAGTGCTTCTTGCCTCATTGTAGTACTGAACTCGTAATGAGTACTAACTACTCCATTGTAGAACAACGAGTTGACTAATAACTCTACAACCTTTGAAAGTTCTTATTTAACACACCTAATATTTACATACCATGCCACAGAGGAACTGTTCCTTAGAAGAATATCCATGATATTCCGTCCTTTCTACGGAGTATACCTCTCTACGGAGTACTAAGCCTTCTCAATAATGTATATCCCTGTTTGATATGTTTGACATCCATGTGGAGCTCGCAGGGCACCTGACCGCCTTTGTACCTCCCTTGGTATGGTACACCAGTATACTCAGTACATATAATTTGTTTTGCTTATGTTTGATATGATATGAGAAGCGGTAGGCCTCGTTGCACCAGCCCTGCTGTCTTTCAGTCCTATTTCTCATGGTCGACTTTACTGCTTATCATTGTCACTAGATGCGTGTACCGGAATCAGCAGCAGAAATTATAATACTGTCGTGATACATCGACAACCTCCCTGCAACTATGTTCGTACCAAAAGCAGGACTCTCCTCCGTGGTCTCGTTGCGTAACCCACGAAGACGCCAGCGCACTAGCTCCGATGAGTCTGTGAAGCAACCGGATGCTAAAAGACAACGTTCTGCGCTGCGAAGTGAGAGTCCTGGGCATTACTCGGAGGCTCATGCAGACTTTAAGAAAAGATTACCCAAAGATCCAAGTCTTGACACCGGAGATGCGTCTGACTCAACGGTTGCGAAGAAACCTGGGGTGCAAAGATCTTTACCAGTGAGATCATTAAACGAACTGAAGCGGCCAGCAAACGAGGTCAACGCAGCTGCTGTGCTGGTAAGTCTTGCATGTGCCTAACGCAACAAGATTCTGGCGTCCCCTTGTCGTCCTCGCCGGGTGTTGTCTAGTTCTTCATTGACGCTAAAATTCTTCAAAGTCCAAGACTGATTTCTACACTGTCTCTCAACTTCCTGCTTTTCCGGACCAGATTCGTGGCCTACCTTCAGGCAAGTTATGGATATTCCCGTCTAAGCCAGTGTATTAATTCATTTTTGTAGATTTTCGAGGTATCTTCGGGACAGCGAATGGCTACGCATTGGTCTTGACGGTATCGCACGCTATTATTTGGCCATATTCTCCCTCTGCATCAGCGTCATCCCCAGTGGATGTCTTTACACTTACAATTCCTGAATCTTGCCGAGAATCTCACGGTGCAGCCCCCCTTGGGGTTTTCCTCTCCTCCGCAAATGGCGAAATACCAGGCTTAATGGTAGTAATGCCGTATACAGGAAGAATTATCTACTGGGAGACCATATCGCATGCTGGATCCCTTGGGCTACCAAGACAAAAACAAAGTGGGCTTCAAGGTCACGTACCTGGCTTGCTCCCAGGTGAATATGTTACTGATGTGATAAACTGCGAGCCCTCCGGTGTAATTGTCACTTTTTCATCGGGGAGGGTCGCTCACATTACCTTCAGGGATTCTCAAGGGAGGCCAACCGTGATGGCCAATTTTCTTCGGAATTCAAGCAGCAGTAGTGGGATACTGAATGGCATAAAAAGCGTCTTCAGTGGTGGTTGCTGGAGGAAGGATGTCGCTACAGTAAAGGCTGCCCGTTCGCATCAACGAGGGCAGCGGGACATCATTGTTGGCACGACGACGGGAGTGTTTGAGATCTGGGACACACATTGGAGTAATGGGAGCATAATGAAGAAACAGTTTGATATCAGACAGGATCTGTGCCGCTGTTTGGGTCGAAATCACACAGAAGCGGCCGGTGATGCTGATCTAAAGATCATAGATTTTGCCCTTATGTCCTGCGGAGATAATGAGCAAGGTTTACAGGATAGTGGAGCAGAGTCATGGCGGCTTTGTCTGGTTGTGGCGCCTTCCCGGGAGACAGGTCGTCGATGCATATCTGTGGTGCAGCTCTTGCTTTCAGAAGAAGTTCATGTCTTGGCTGCCAGTTCCATAGACTTGAACTTCGCTCCGACGTTGTCTAGCGACCTGCAGCCCAACATCAAGTTACATGTAGCCACAGTGAGCCAGACAGCCTTCATCGTGATTGGCCAGTCGGTGTTATTGCTCTCGTTGGTTTCATATGGCGACTCGCCCACCTCGCAACTCTTACTAGACTCCGATCGACTTCCCTCGCCTTTCAACGACCATATTACCTTTCGGGCCGGAGCTGACTACAAGCTACTGGGTAGCGGCTGTGAGGATGAACAGGGTGAAGGATCTAGCTCCGCATGCTTGGTCATGGTTCGAAATTTTGGCGTCATTCGCATCGCAGTGAGGTCTCGGCAAAGCGCAGGCAATGAGATTGAAGATGCTCAAATTACAGCTAAAACCAAAATCGAACAAGCCGTATTCTACGGCACGAGGCCAGGCAACCCACTCGATCTAACTGACAAAGGCGGCTTCGACTTCAGCTCCCAAGAGATCGAGGAAGCTGCACTTGAAATTTGCGGAGAATTGCTGCGGTCTACCTCTCATTATATT